CTCGAGTGGCAGCACTCGTGCGACGGGCTCGTGTGACGGGGTCTCGCGCGATGGCCTCGTACCACGGGGCGCTCGTGCGGCAGGGCCTTGTAGGACAGGGGCCTCGTGCAAGAGGCCTGGTGGGACAGGGGCTTGCACCGCGGCAGCCTCGGGGCCGGGGGCCGCACTGCGGAGGCCTGGCCCTGGCTCCAGAAGAGGGGCGGGAGCTGCGAGAGGCTAGGCTGCTTTTACAGCCCTGAGCAGGGGAGTCACTGCAGGGGGGAACCACAGCCCGAATATTAGCAGCATTACGGTGCCCCAGGACCCGCCCTGGGGTGTGGGGGGGCCACAGCAGGGACCTCGCCCTGGCCCGCTGGAGCGGGCTGCTCTGCTCCTGAAGGGCCTGGGGTGCTCCGTAGGGGTGCATGGGCTGGGGGCTCAAGGATGGCCCCGGGGGTGCGAGCCGTGGTTGTGCAGCTCCTGGCGCGCAGCGGGGTGCCCCGGACCCCCGGGGGTTCCCAGCCCCTTGGATCGGAGCCAGAGCAGGGGCTGGGGCCAGGCCTGGTGCGGGGCGGGGGCACCAAGTGCCTGGAAAGTCCCTGGCCCAGGCAAGGCACATCCCAGCCCGAGGTCCCGGCGAGGACACGGAGGAGGACACGGAGGCAGCAAAGCAGAGGCCAGGTTGGGGGCAGGCAGAGAATGTGTGTGTGTGTGTGTGGGGTGGGGGGGCGGCACGTGTGCGTGCCCAAGTGCAGGGGCTGTGTGTGTTTGGAGCTGGGGGAGGCTGCGTGTGTCACAGCAGGTGTGTGGGAGGCTGTATGGGGCAGCGCTGCGTGCGATGCGGCCACACACGTGTGCAGGTCCGGGCCAGCTTGCACGTGTGGTGGCTGCCTGCACACATGTGCATGTGCACACGTCCTTGTGCCCCCCTGTGCACCGGCCTCTCCCTGCTGAGTGCTGATGTCAGCGCGCGCGGCCGGCCCCCACCCTGCCCCGTCCCTGGCAGGCCCTGGCGCTGACGCCAACCCGAGGTCCAGCCCCGGGAGTGGGCCGGAGCCGAACTGCATCCTGCCTGGCTCAGGGCCGATGCTGGCGGTGTCATTGGTGTCACGAACCCCACGGGGCTCAGCCTGCCCTCTCCCCTGGCTCCTCGGGCTCCCTTGGCCTGCCTGGGTCCACTGCGGGGCATGCAGCCTGCCTGGGCCAGCCCCAGGCGACTGCGGACCCCGGACCCTGGCAGGCCCTGGGCCATGGCAATGACCTCAGCGCCACGGGAAGGAGCTATTGTGCGTCAGGAAGCCCCGTCCTGCCGCGGGCCGGCCCTGCCTCATTGTTTCCAGCTGCACGTCCGATCCCACGGGCAGGCAGGCGCTGGCCAGCAGGACCCCGCTCCCCTGCTGACAGGGCGAGGGGCTGCCCAGGCCGGCCACAGCCGGGCCATGAAGCCGCGGGACACGCTGGATGTGCTGTTTCGGGTGCTGGGGCGGAGGGGCAGTGCCCGGGCGCCAGGCACGTGCAGGGTAGGTGTGACCCCCGCCCAGCCCTGCTCGGGGAGGGTCAGAGTTTCCCCTGGGAGCAGGGGTGGTCCAGGACAGGGGACCCCTGGGGATCTGGGGGCCGGGCGCAGAGCGGGTCCCCGTGGGAGGTGCCAGGGATGGGTCTGACCCGGTTCCCAGGCTCGGCTGGACTAGAGGGGCCATGTGCCCTTGTCCCAGACTCGCTGCACAGTGCCGAGCGCAAGGGGCTCCTGCCAAGTGACTTGGGAGCTGCCTCTGAGTGCCAAGGCTGTACCTGGGGGTGGGGGCAGAGGGGTGGGAGTCGAGCCTCTCTCCTGCCCAGGTGTGCAATGAGCTACCTAATCTCAGCCCAGGTCCTGGCTCTGCATGCGTGTGTGTGCGCGCGTGCATGTGCATGTGTTCATGCCTGTGCCTGGGTATGTGCACAGCATGTGTATGTCTGCACGTGTCACATCTGTGCAGGGGCATGCAATTCTGCCTGCATGCGTGTGCATGCCTGCGTGCATGTTTGTATGCATCTGTGTGCACATCTGCATGTCTGCCTGCCTGTGTCTGTGTGTGCATGCGCATCTGCATGTGCACAGGTGTGTGTGCATGTGTGGGTGCGCATGCCTACGTGTGTGTATCTGTGTGTGTGCATGTGCATCTGCATGCATGTGTGTGTGAGCGTGTTTGTGTGCATGTATGTCTGTATACATGCGTGTGTCTGTGTGAGTGCATGTGTCTGCATCTGAGCCAGGGCAGGAGAACCCAGGAGTAAAATCCCCCATGGGGGTCCCATGTGTGGCGTATGAGGCAGAGAAGGGCCTGGCGGGCTCGGGGCTGACTCGTGCCCGCAGCAGGCAGGGCAGAGGGTGCAGAGAGCAGAGCAGAGGATGCCCAGGTGCCCTCGGTGCCCGCGCCCGGCCCCAGCCTGTCCCCTCTCACTTCCTGCACTGGGAACACAGCGTCCAGCTGCCAGGGAGACTCCCATCCCGCTGTCACGGGGGCGTGGGAACAGCCCCCGCCCTGCCCGGGCCATGCTGCGGTCTCCGGGCCAGCACAGGGCTGGCGTTGACCAGGTTGGCATCCCCCCCATTGCTGCCCGCCCCATCCCTTCTCTTGCCCTTCCCATCCCACCCTCCGTATCTCTGCCCACTTTCCTCTCTCCCACAACCCCCCCCCCGCACCCCGCCATTTCCCTACCTGCCAGCTCCGCCCCTCACACGGGTCCCAC